GCCTAGTACTGGCATCGCTGGGGGACACCGCGGTGCCCCGCCGGGAATCGCGGCGTGAGCTGGAGGTGGCCCGGGAAAAAAGTAGAATTAACAGTGAAAGGATCAATTTTGGTCTTTTCCCCGTGAAACTGTCAGTTGTGGTAGCGGGAGAAGCGGGAGGCTCGTTTCCAACCCCCTAAGACCTGGGCTCCCATACAAGCCGGTTTTGCGTTGACCTGAGGGGTTTCTGATTGTCGGGTAGTCTATTTTTGATGTATATACCCAAAATGTAAATATTTTTGATGTAAATACCCAAACCAAAGTTCAGTGTGCCATTCTAGACTGCTTTATTAAAACATTTATTTGTTATCAGCACTGGTAAAAGAAAGCATTTACACTTATTTATAAGCATATATTATGATGCCAACCCACACTACTGTAATGCAGATTCTGAATGAAAACGTGGCTCCGAGCACGCCAAAGTAGTCTGCTAATCCGAGCGGGGGTACAGGGTGTCTGTTATCCTCAGAATCAAACATGGGAGGGCAGACGTCTCGAAAAGACAGGTTTAAAATCCAGAGATGGGTCTAAAGAAAAACTAAAACTACATTAGAGTGAAAATAAAGTCATGCTACTAAAGGTTTAGCTAACTAGGTGCAGCAATCACAATTCATTAAAAATGCTCCATCGCAACAAGTTTGACTGATTTATATGGAGCAACTGTAGTCAGCTGGCCAGCTCGTTTTCTGCATTAATTTAAAGTGCAGATTTCACAGGATCTCACGTGAAATCACTGAAGGTTTGCCAGATGTGAATACTTACCCGCTCTACAACCACACCATCACAAGCAAACACATTCTGTTCACTGATGTCAGCGGAAATGTAAGATGTCTTTGAAGGTTTCCTCTAAGGTAATAGCTACGATTTAAATCTTGCTTCGGACGTTATTGAAAAACAAGTTCTTTGATCTCTGTGGATAGTGGGATTGATGAAAAATGCTGAAAATACAACGCATTGGCGAGAAGACTATGAACACTCGCCTCACTTGGGGGCATTCTTACCCTCACCATTACCTTCAGCAATCGGTCTCACCCAACAGGGTTCCTGATAAACTTGCTGCATGCCTAGACTGTCACAAATTCACCCCGAATTCAGAGTCCTAATAATGTCTTTTTTTGCACACTTATTTGCTTTCAAGGCATCTCTGCTTGAGATGAAAGCACCTCAGCTTTCATTGCATCTGAAGCTGCCTGAAAGCAGGGTTGGCTTCCATACATTTTTTGAGGAAAGAAAGTACATTTATGTAATTTATTGTGTCATTCTCCATTTATATACAAAGTACACTGGCAGAGTAGAAAGAGTGGTCCCAAATTTTCCAGGAACACAGTTTCAGTGCTTTGAGCACAGGTAAAGTTGATACTGTTGGCTCCTGAATGAAAGATTTATAGCTTTTTACACTTCCCCGAAGTGGAAATGGAGATGCCCAGTATCTCCTTTCCTGCAGCCTTCCCACTACTCTAACAACTCGTATTTGCACATCATAGCTTCCAACTGAGACTTCACAAGGAGACATTTGACACCTGACCTTTAAAAACCTTTTAGGGCTGTAAAATGTACTATTGCAAATGAAAGCACTGCAATTGTCCTACTGTCTTTGAGAAACTATGATCAACCGGGATGCATCGTGAATGGTGGTGGTGATGTTTACATTCCCACAGAACCAAAGGCAACCGTGTTTCAGGGTTTTGCACACCAAGTTCCTGACCGAATCAGGTGTCTGATGGTAGGGAAAGCATTTCCAGTAATCCTTCCATTTCAAGCTGTGATCTTGTCAGATTTTATAAGCAAAACAGCCAGGTCTGGTCAGAGCTTGGATGGGAAACCTCCAAGGAAAACTAAAGTGCTCCAGGAAGTGGTGTGGGTAATTTAGCTCCTGGCATTCCTTCCTCCGTCTGAGTAAATATTGAACCAACCTCTAACCATGCTTTTGCAGTAAGAAACATCGTGCTGCTGGTGGAAGATGCAAATCCAAAGGTGTCAGCAAATAGGGTCACTAGAGAGCTCAAGATGCTGTTTGCAAGTGTAAGGTTGCTCATCTTTGCTCTCTTGAGCAATGTTCACGAACAACGACGTTACATCTAGATAAAATATATCTGGTTGGATTAAACAGTTTTCCCTCTGAGCTCTGTTATTTGCTGTGTTTCCCATCAAAACCGTGCTTTTTCTTTAGCAGAAAAGTAAAAGTGGATATTTTGGACCAAACTTTAAAGGTTCATATTTATTTTGTTTTGTTTTGTTTTTACAAAAAGAACTTGAAAGATATCTAATGTTCAAAGAAAACATAGTGGTGGATCAAAACTGGAAATGAAAAATGGAAAAACAGAATGCCCCAAGCCTGAAAACTTTTGAAATAAAACAACTGAAAAAACAGGACCACATCTCCCAGTACACGCGGAGCAGAAACCCTCCGGATGTGTGGCAGTGGCTCAGCACAAAGGAGAATGGGAAACACCATGGGAGATGTTTGCCAGCCAAGTAATCTGCAATTCCTGTAACTCACAGTATTTCCAAACAGAAACATTCAGTCTCTTTTCCTGCCAGAATTCGATTTACTTCTCAGGCAAAACTAACCAGTTTTCTCCCTGTCTGCACTGTTGAGTATGGTTTCCACTTCTAAAAGGGAGCAGCCTTCCACCCACACGATTTTTTGCATTTTGCAGGTGGATTTTGCGCAGCTGAAAAAGAATCACACAAACCACACCTGATAGGGAATTTTTCTATCTCCACAAGGAATCACCTCCTCCTAGCAGCTGGGGGTTAGCACTCCTTTTGGTGTCCGGCACCTTGAAGGCTGCCAGCACTGTGAATGGCAGGGTTTAATGACATAAAGGAAATATGAAAGGAATGTTTTATAGAACAGATGCAAATTCCTAACTGCTTTATTGCAGATGACCAGTATAACTGATGATGTCTACAGGTAGCACTCACCATCCTGGATCTACAACTACCTGAAAGGAGGTTGTAGTCAGGTGGGTGTCAGTCTCTTCTCCCGAGTAGCAAGTGATAGAACAAGAGGAAACAGCCTCAAGTTGCACCAGGGGAGGTTTAGATTGGATAATAGGAAAAAATTCTTCATTGCAAAGGTTGTCTTCACTGGAACAGGCTGCCCAGGGAAGTGGTTGAGTCACCATCCCTGGGAGTATTGAAAAGACACGTAGATGTGGTGCTTAGGGACATGGTTTAGTGGTGGACTTGGTAGTGTTACATTTATGGTTGGACTTGGTGATCTTAAGGGTCTTTTCTGACCTAAACGATTCTATGATTCTATTCTGTGATTGAATGGTGAGGGATGGGAAGAAAACAGGACACACTCACACGGCTTAAAACTGAGCTTCACTCATTTGTTATATTAAGAGAATAATGATTTAGGACTAGATGGAGTGTCCCTCACATATGCCAAGGTCAAAAATTAATGAACTGTTTCCAAAATTCTTCCATAAAAGAGCCTTTTCTTAGATTAGCTGTCTCACATGGAGCTCATCGGTAAGTAGTAGCAGACAAACCTGAATCCCAGCCTTGGCATTCACTGCCTAACTTTGGGAAAACCCCTTTGTCTCTCTGTGCCCTTGTCTGTTGTACCTCAGCTATGCCACTTCACAAGGGCCACCATCTTCACACGGCTGCAGCGGAGCCAGATGCCATGGTTTGCTAAAGGTCCTTGAAGTCTCTAGACTAAAGGAGTAACAAAAGAGTCAGCTAGATTTCTGTATTGAAGATGATTTTTTTTTATTGCAAATGTACACATTACACTACTGATAATGCACAGAAATTTAAAAAGCTATCGTTTGCTAAAATTTCATGATTACAAAACTTCACAAAATTTATTACAACTAAAAAACCCACCTTCAAGAGTATATAAATAGAATTTTGAGCATAAATAACAGTAACAAAATAAACAGATGTATGTATTCAATAAATTAATTATAAATATTGCATTGGCAATGAAGTGCTAGGTCAGAAGAACAGCAGTATTTCCAGTAGAGCTTTTTTTGATATAGAAATCTCTATTATAAATGAACCTTTGGAAATGAGTAGAATCCCCGAACCCTTTTCACACTTTTTTTTTTTTTTTTTTTTTTTTTTTTTTTTCTTTGGTTTCACCTTGGTTATTCCTTCATCAAATCGTTACAACGGGAGAACAGAACTGAAGACATCAGACATCCGTGTTTTGGCCATGAGGTATTCATAATCCCTTCCTACCAGAAGAACAGTGTGGCTGACCCAGTTCTGTGGCATTTAAGTCACTAAACTGTCTCTCCACTGATTTCCACGGATGCAGAATCAAGCCTGGAGGGAACCTGAAAGATTTGCTGATGGTTAAAGGTTAAACACAAAATCTATTTTGCAACTGATTTGACCTATACATCATCCATTTTCAGTCTTTCTCTCCGTTTGCTAACAACATACTTGCTTATATACAACAGAACCTCAATTTAAACACTAATTTGAACTGCTCATTCCCTACGTGATGAATATAAATGCTCGTTCTGTGCACTCTTCCAACCACACACTGAATTCTCACTAGTGTTAGCGAGAACTGTCTGCTGGATGATGCTGATGCCACAGTGAACATAAATTATCCTACAAAAGAAATCAAAGATCCCGTTTTCCAAAGTACCCTTTAGCAATAAGGGAAGGGAGAATTTTTTTCCTTTTTTCCCTTATTTCCTAAGGGAAGAAAAAGCACAATGTACAAGCAGAATTGTTTTTTTCAGTGGTATGCTTTCAATAGAAAGTCTTCCCAGAACATTGTCAGCAGCTTTTCAAGACACAGTGTTAACTCTAGTTTGCGTAACCATATTTGCTAGGTTTTCCTTAATTGTATTTTGGTCCAAATGTTTGTCTTTAAGGCCTCTGAAGAGGAAAAGGCTTTCTGCATTTGCTTCTAGAAGCAGAAATAGCAGGTGAACATATGTGGTAATGAAGTAGATGTAGATGAATTGTAAGTATTTCATCATCACCACGGTAATGGATGATGAAGATGATGAAGCTGCTAAGATTTTCTTATTTAACCCTTCTTTTCCAAATTGAACTATGGATAGGCAACTTAGACTATGGAATAGCCTGTGGGCACTCATTTCTTACAGGTACAATGCATTGCAAGGAAAAGGTTGGCTCCATACTGAAATATACAAAAAAGTTCGAAATATCACTACATGAAAAGCTAAAAAGCCTGCAGTATTCTGCAGCATTTCTTTAAAAACATGTATGTGTGATCAGAGTCACTTCTGAAAGCTAGGGCTCTTCACGGGTGACAGTTTGGAGGTGATGCCAAAGGGGTCCATGCTGTCCGTTTCGAGAGGCGAGGAGTACACCTCCGGTTCAAAGGCCTGGCTGTAATCACCGTATTCACCAAAGTCTGTTGACTCCACCGGCACAGTGTTGATCATAGGTAAGAAGTGAGATAGTGGAAGGAAATCTTTTCCTTTGAACTGTTGTCTTTGCTTGGCACTACTCAAAGACACCGATATTCCGTATTTTTTTGATTTATATACATTGTAGCCATCGGGACGAATCTCCTCTTCAAAGGAACAGTCCTCAGTGGAATACCTGAGCTGAACAGCAAGGAGTAAGGAGAATTACAAATACACCCACCAGACTCACCGTACTCAACCACAACATACAACTTGGATGCGATCACCCCTTCTCCCTCTGCTGTCAGTGGGGGTGTCTCTCTGGCTTGTCACGGGTGCCCCAATCCGGTGCTCCTTGCAAACCCTGCTGCCAGATCCATGCTGGTGAGCTGCCTGCTGCCTCCCTGCCTGGCTGCTGCAGGGATGCAGGTGGGACCCATTGCTCTGGTGACTGCTCTTCTAGTGATGGACCACAGCCACCATGATGAAGTGCCCTGAATTGGTCAGGCCGTTGGGCAAGGTAATTGTTTTCCATCTGAATTTCCAACTGAAATATTCATTCTGTTCTATTCTATTCTATTCTATTCTATTCTATTCTATTCTATTCTATTCTATTCTATTCTATTCTATTCTATTCTATTCTATTCTATTCTATTCTATTTTCTATATTCTATATTCTATATTCTATATTCTATATTCTATATTCTATATTCTATATTCTATTCCATTCCATTCTTCCATGAGAACAGCACATAGTATGCATTTTGTGTTACATTAAAAGACCTAATCCAGAACTCCTGAAGCTAATGCACATCCATCGCATTAAATAAAACTTGAATCCTGGGTGTATACTTCTCCACAGCTACCACACTTACCCTGTCTTGAGGTCAGGGAAAAAAGAATCTCATATGACAGTGCTCATTTAGATAAATTGTCCTTAATTGCTGGCAGTACTTAACTACAGTCATGAGACCTAATCTAACAATCCTCAGGTATAAAACTCTGGGTCTGTTAAGAGATTTGCCTGTATAAGGGCTTCAGGATCAGGTCTGTAGAAAGGCAGTGCTATCAGAGATAGTGCTTACACAAACATGGTCAACCAGTAAAACAATACTAAAAAGGTAGTTGCCATTTTTTTTTTTACTCAGCATTTGCTGAAATTACAAAAGACCAGTTAACACAGTGTTATTTGCTCACTAGACATTAGTTACAACTATCAAATTAATAACAGCACAAGTTAAGATTTTGTATAGAAGAATGTATTTTCTTAGGTATGAATTTGTAGAATTCCATTTGTGATGTACTGTACAGATAGTATATGAAGGGTTTATCTCACCAGCTCAGACCTTTCCAGATCCTTGCACTGTATTTCTTACAACTCCAGTGCTATTTCAGGTTCAGCCACTACAGGTGATTGAACTCATGGTCAATAAAAGGCAATTGCTGATTATGTCTCAGTCTGCAGTGATAAAAGTGTCCTTAAATGAATGATCTGCCTGTCTGAATAGAGAGCATATTTCATACTCCTTGGTCCTTTCTCAAACACCCTCAATAACATGAGTACAATTAAGTGCATGCATTTGGTTGTCTTTTAAAAGCACTTTTTAAACTAATCAAGTAATTTTAAAAAAGGAGTTTTATCCAGAAAAAATTATGCAATATTTATCTTTCTACACACATTATATCTCAGAAAAATATGTGTCTATGATACAAATTTATGGCTGAATTGTTAGCTGTCTTTATTTCTATGAGTGCTCAGCCTCACTAACAAGGATGATGAAATAAAAAAGCTTCTTGAGCAAGTGCGCATTACAAATAACAGTTATTGATTACACCTCCCATGTCTCAACTATATCATCCCCTCTTCATTTCATTGGCATGGTCTCTAGTGTATTTTTCTAAACAAGTACCAAATGCACTTTAAGTATTTCCAGATTTTTTTTTTTCCACAGGAGGAATTTACTGTATGTCAGTATATTAGGCAGCTACACCATTTCCCCCAAAACTACAGACTACAGCACACTGCACATTCGAAAATCAACCCTAGTTACCAGTTTTCCGGTGTTAAAAAAAGGAGTGCAAGTGATTGCCCACTTCAGTCCCCAGACACCGTATTTGCCCTTTCATTCTACTCCTGAGCATAGCACTGGTAAATCAAAGAATTGCCTGCAGAGCTGCCTGCCCGAGCTGTTAGCAGAGAGCTGGCAGCAGGTGTCCACAACACAGAGATGCGACAGCATGGCTACATGCCGTTGTATTTTCAGAAAAAAACCCGCAATTAATACTGTACACAAACAAACACAGTCTCAGTCAATGCATATTCATATGCCTTCAAAAACAGCATTATAAGAAAGCTCTTTTAAAATTCTGTGACTGCTAAAGTCCAGCCAGCAGCTCTGATGGGAGTGGGATCCAGGTTCTGCTTTGTTTTCATTGATTATTTTACTTTGGATATACATTAAAACATTAAGCTAATAATTGACCTACCATATTGTCTGAACCTATGCACCTTACCACAGCATGTATTGATTCTAGCCCAGAAAAGCAAGGAAATTCAGAAAGAAAGGCTTAATTCTATGTTATATACACATTCAAAAACATCACTACATCAATATTGCTCTTATTAAAGATACTGGGAGTTTTGACAATGGGCCAAGTCCTTGCCCAATTGAAATCAGCAGAAATTTTGCCAGAGTAATCAAAGCAGAATCAAGCTGTATCTTTACTATGGCATAATAAAAAGCCACCGGTCGCTCTGTGAAACTCAGGCTCCCATAAAGCAGCTATACATAGACTGCATCTGAATCTTACTCTTCATATTCTAGAGTTGGCAGCTTATTCGTGTGGCTTAAAACCCAAGTTTATATTGCTGATGATGCCTAGCTGATGTGCTAAGGAAAAAGCATGACCTAACAGCGGGTCATTCAGCTCCCCAAGCTCTTGGGAGTCGCACAGGTGTGCGGTTGTCCCAGGTCAGGAGTGGGACAGTGGCTCCCCACTTCTTCCCCTCGAAATCCTCTGTTTGGTGCTGCCTAAGAGATGGCAACCTCCTGTTTCTGGGACTTGCATGCCTGGCAGCCATCTGGCTGCATCTCCTTTCCAAAAAGTAATCTTGGGTTGATTTGTTTGTTTGTTTGTTTTTCAGAATACTTGACCTGAACAGTGAGCAATTATTCACATTCTACGGCATGACTTCATTTAGTTCTGTGGCAGAAACATAACCACCCACCAGTGAGGTTTTTTAAAAATAATTTTGCCCTGGATTGTATTTTCAGTATTTTTTGCAGGGGAGGTGCAATACAGACTTTGCTTTCTAAATTATGTTTCCTTGGTGCCTTCTAATAATCCTGGCGGTCTCTCGGGCAGTAAGAGTGACAAGAATCACCGATCCCACCGAGAAAAGGGGCGGGGGGGGTGTCGGGACCTGAAGGCTTTGTTAACCCATCACCAACCGCAGCCATAAATAACTATGTCAGCCCTTTGGTCTCGTCTGCCCTTCCCGCACGGCGCCCGGGCTGGGAATCTCCCTCGGGAAAGGGAAGCCCAGGCAGAGCCGCCGGGAACCGGCGGGACCGGGGGGACCGGGGCGTGTGTGTGTGTGTGTGTGTG